CGCATCCCAGAGACCTTTTCTGTTTCTGTAATACTCCATGCTGTATTCAGGACCACGTATCCTGAAGCATTTGATTCTCTTCTCAGTAAGCAGATACTGTTGAACTCAAGTTGGTATACATGCTGAGGTGTTCAGGAGTTTTCGGTTAAGCCTTGGAATGCAGGAAGATAAGATGGATGGACATAGATGGCTAGGTAGGTTGCTAGTTCTACAATAACAGCAGGTGTCAGTTGTAGAGTTTAGGTGATGCATGTATGACTATTTACAGTTGAGTGACTTTTATTTCTCTGAAATTCTTCAAAGTGCTGGGAGAAAAGGCAACTATTCTCTCTCCTCCCCCCACCCCCAAGTCAGTTTTCTTTGTAACTAAACAAAGCCTGGCATTTAAAGAAAACTTTTAACAGCAATTTACATCAAAATATGGATAGATGATAAACATTTTAAGGATTTGTTTAGTCAGAGTGGTTCTACTTTCAGCTGTTTTTAGCTTAATTGGATTCCTTTAAGATTGGATGGTTTGGAGAACTATTGAAAAGGAAATCACTGCTCTAAATTTTAGATACCCAGTGTTTCGTGCCTGGAATACATTTTTAGGTAAAGGAGTCAGGCTGGTCTCCCTAAGGACAGCCTTCCAGGTGAGTGGCCCTAAGCTTTTCCTACATTTCTGAAGTGTGAGGGTGCAAATTTTTCCAGGCTTTTTAACACTGAGCCCACATTGAAGTGTATTACATTTCTGTCAGTTCAGGGCTGAGGCTCGGGTGCTGGTTTAGGGGGAATGGTAACAGGTAGAGTTAGGGCGGAGTACCTGGTGATCTGAAGTGGCCTGGCTGCTGGAGAGGAGAGGAGGGCAGCCTGTGGGATGAAAAGGTAGACTTTTAATAAAATTAGATTTTGTTTTGTTTCTTTTAGGTAGAAGAGTTTAAATGTAATCTGTATTGTGTGGAATTTTGTTTTATGGGGAATATTTTTACGTGTAAACAGTGAAATTTCATCTCTCAAGTAGGGAATACCAGATGGTATCTGTGGTTGGTGATTAGTTTACTACCAAGTAATCTTAAATGGATTGTTGTAGTAATTGTGTTTCTAAATGTTAAACTAAGCATTTATGTTGGACACACGGCTGGATTTCTCTCAGTTACAGGGATTGTTCTAGAAATTTTCAAAACATGAGTGTTTATTTCTTATGTGAGTGAGTGAGTGGTCACTCAGTCATGTCTGACTCTTTGCGACCCTATGGACTGTAGCCTACCATGCTCCTCTGTCCATGGGATTTTCCAGGCAAGAGTACTGGAGTGGGCTGCCATTTCCTTCTCCAGAGGCTCTTCCCGACCCAGGGATCGAACCTGGGCCTCCCACATTATAGGCAGACGCTTTACTGTCTGAACCACCAGGGAATACTATTTCTTATGTAGTTTGCTTCAAATGTTTCACTTTTTCATCAGAAGTGCTTTTCACAGGTTTTTTTCAGTTTTTTTTTTTAAGGTTATACCAAGAGTCATCTTTTCTTAAAAAAAATAAAACAAAAAAAACCAAAAAACCCTTTACTGTTTTTCATAAAAGAAAAACCATGTGCAGTTGATAGAATTATCAGAGTCAGTAGCCGTGCAGTCACGGCCCAGGCTCAGAAACGGAACTTGGCTTCAGCAGAGCCCTCCTCCTTTCCCTGCACAGCTAGCTAGCTCTTTTTTACGGTGACCATTTTCATGTTTTTCTAAACAGTTTAAACACCTAAGCTTTGCACGGGATATTAGTAAAACTGGAGAGTATTGATAGAATGCAGTAGTTTTTAACCTTATTTGACACAGTATCCCATTTTAACATTTTATATTTTGTAGTGCCCAGTTTTGCATTCTGAGATGAAATTCATGTATGAATTACCTACTAACGTACATAGTTGAAAATCTTAATATATGCCCTGACTGTGTAACATACAGGAGAAGAAACTGGATTTGTTAATAAAATAGGCATTTTGATATGTAAGTGTTGGGCAAGACTATACTAGAAGACTAGAAGATCTATCCTATATAGACTATACTAGATGTAGTGTATCTGTATATAGATGGATAGATACTATATCTATATAGACTGTACTGGGAGACAAGTGAAGTAGCCAGATGGCCTGTGACTTCCTTCAACAAGTGAGCTTCGGTTTAAGGGAAGTGAGGCAAGAGTTGTCTGGTGGAGGCTGACTGGTTTTCTCTAACGTCTTGAAATAAGGCTGAGAGAATCTTTATGCATGTGGGTGCACTCACATGACTGTCACCCACACACGTGTGCTGACTGTCCCAGACCTGTTGCAGGATTGAGTGGCATTGCTGTTGATAGAATAATTTTCTGTATTGGTGTGAACTCATGTTTTAGTTTTTTGGAGAAAGAGAACAGAGTTTTTGCAATAGATGTATTTCTGGAAAAGAGATTTTTTTTTTTTTTTTTTTACCAGTGTGGATGTCTGGAGGGGTGTGTGAAGGTTTGGTGGGTCCTTGACTGTGCAGGTCTGCTTGGGCATCACAGAACACTGCTGTCTTGTTCCTTTCCCCCAACAGCAGCTCCTCCAGTCCTCACGTCAAACAGAACACCTACATTTAATTTTGTGAGATTCTCAGAGTTTCTGTGACCCACGAAGTGTAACAGATATCTGCCTGAACCCGCTTCCAGCTATAAATCTGGTTTTTATGGTTGTGGTCATTAGTACTTAGTGATTTTGCGTTTTAACCCGGAAGATGGCTTTGGACTCTGAACTGTCTGCTGGAAGCAACCCTTATTGAGAGACTTGGTTAGAGGGATGAAGTGGTGCAGAAAACCTCAAATTCATTTGTTAGGTGGGTTTATTACAGGTAATTCTACATTTTACTGAGGTTAACTTATTCAGTTAAGAATTTGGTTTTAGTGAAATTTTTTTCTTTTGACATGTTATTTTCATCTTTAGATAGTTTGTATTTTCATGTCCAGAAAGATCACAATCTATTAATTGAAGATTTATATTCCCTGATGGGCAATCAAAAATGTGAGTAATGTTTCAGAATTCATATGTTGATGAAAATTGACACATGGTCATTAAAAAAATCAGTTTAAAAAAAGTTATTTTACCTTATTTTGAATAGTTGGTACTTTCCTCTAAAATTGGGAACATTTTAGAAATTGAATTTAAAATGACAAGGTTACATAATTATGTTATGAAAATATAGGATTGTTCTAAATTAAGATTTGTAAAATGTTAGCTATTTTACTAAGAAACTTCTGAAAACAAACTTTTAAAATTTATACGTTGCGCTGTTAAAATCCTAGTTGAAATAATAACATAAAAATTGACACATTCTCAGTTACTTGTAGTAACTTGTGGATTTTGAGAATGTTAGGAAATGGGATCTGTCTCTCTAAGATTCATAATTTTACCAGTGGATTCACGTGGGAGAATGCACAGCTGGGGGCTTTCCCCTTAACTCCCTGGGTGGGTGTGTGGGGATGGGGTGGTCAGGTGCTTGTCAAAACGTGCAAGCAGTAGTAGTGCTGGGAAGAGCAGCAAGGATGTGAGATAATATGCAAGTACAATGAGTGACTCGACCATGATATTAAAACGAGCTGTCCAAGAGATTGTAGTTCTTGTGTATATTGTATATATTTAAAAAAAAAAGCCTACTTGTTGATTTAAATGCCTATTTCATGGTAAAATTTTTTTTATAACTGGTTCTCTGCCTTTTTTGTGTTTTCTTCTAATGTTCTCTTGTTTCTAGCTCCTCCTTCTCATCCCAGTTCCAAATCTTTGTTAGAAAATATAACTCAAACTTTTAAGCACAGAGTAGAATTAATTTATCTCCTTGGACTTGAAGGAAGTGCTTTTTCCTGGCCTTTCATTTGAAGTCTCTCTTTTCCTCTCCTCTTATCAGTTTGGTCTACTTTCTACCCCGCCCTCCTCACACTGTCCTTCATTTGTCTGTGTGTGTTGTTCCCCTTCAAGCCTTTGTCTTAGATAATTTCCCACTACTCAGCAAAATGGGAAACTATTTGGCAGAGTTGGGGAATTTTCTGTCTTTTCTCAGTCTGGGATCCTTACTAGAAACATTTTAAAGCATACGAGAAACATTTTAAAGTTTTAAAAGACATGTTTACTCTCTTTTATTTAATTTCAGCCTTGAAATTTGATTTCAGACTTCTAAAGTTTTTTTTTTTTTCATTTAGAAACCACTTAAAATTGCTTTAGGGTTAGTGAGAAGTGTGTGGTTGTTGCTTCTCATTGGGACATATTTTTTAAGTTTTATCTTCTGTCTCCAAATTAACCGGTATTCAGTTTATTGTCTAAATCTGCCTAAAATGTCTTTAGGCTTTTCTTGAACCAAGAACTGTACTGTTTCTCCACACCCCAGTTTATCTCCCCTTTTTTTTTAAAAAAACAATGGTTTTAGATTTACTTAATCAGGCAGGAGTACATCACCTTTGTGGTTTCTTTGTTTTGCAATTTTATGTTTGGGTGTTGAACTAAAGCTTAAAAATACCTTTGTATGTAGAGCATTTGACACAGTTACCTTAGTAAACATGTGACAAACATGAGTGAAAGGAGCGAGTGAGGGGATCAAAGCTGATGGAGGTGGGGCAGGACCACCTGTCTCGGGGCCTGCTGTCTTCAGGTGGAGAGACTTTGTCCTTGGCTCGGTCAGGTGAGTCTGAAGACAGGCTCTGGTTTGCAGAGCACTGGAGAACCGATCTTTTCAGTAATGCGGTAAGCATGTACTGGGAGAATACAGTTTGGGGCTTATTTCGTAAGTTGTGAAACTTTCAGAACACATTTTACGTGATGGAAACAAGAAAAGTTCTAGTAGGGATTTTATGGGTTGCTTAGGAACAAAGGAGGGAACACAGCCCCTTTGTGAGTCCCCACCTGTATGTGTACTTCAGTACACACTACATAAAGTCGAGGTTATGTTTCTCCAGTTTCGAATTCTGTGTTTGTGTGGGTGTGAATCCAATTATATTTTTTCCCGTTTTTGTTTTTTAAAATCTTACAGGCCCCTTCACAGATGTAGTCACTACAAACCTTAAGTTGCGAAATCCGTCAGATCGAAAGGTGTGTTTCAAAGTGAAGACGACAGCGCCTCGTCGGTACTGTGTGCGGCCCAACAGTGGGATCATTGACCCCGGGTTGACTGTGACCGTTTCAGGTAGCAAATGTTCATGTTGTCATCTCATTGTGTGCAGACTGCTGCAGAAACTGTCTCCCCTTCTCTTGGGGTGGAGTGTGGGGTGGGTTTGGGGATGGAGTGGGAGGGTATGTGTGATGCACTCAAAGCAGTTACTGTGAGTCTAAAATGTTACATTGTTCTTTATTTCTGCAGCTTACTACCACATCCTCTGCCCTTATTATTTGGTCTTTGAAATTTTGTATCATTTTTGGCTTTGCTCATTCTCTCCCATATATCACTAGTGTGACATGTTACATGCAGCTATGGAGGGATTATTCTCAGTCTTATGGTTAAGAATGTACAGTGCATATCTTTGGCCAGTAAGTTGTAATAGTCGATGAGACTTCTGCCTTTCTTGTTAATGCCGGTGTCAGTTCTGTTCCCCTTCTGTGGTTCCTTGAAGTCCGCGGTGCGTACTTGGCCCCTTTCTCACGCGGATGGCTTACCTGCCCTGGGGCAGAGCCAGTGCCCCCAGACTGTTCGTTCTCCCCTCCTGACACTCTCACGGTGCAGGCAGGAAGGTAGTTGAGGTGGTGCCTCACAGGCCCCACGCCAAGACCAGTTACTCCCGTGTTCTGGCCGTGGCTCTCACTTTTGTGAAGGCCTGTCACAGCAGCACGGGCTTCTCCAGATTAGCCTCTGCGGATACAGCCCAGACGTGTGTGTGTTCAACATACAGAGTATGCCTGGGTGATCCTGACAGATATTACCAAGATATTAAGCAGTTCTGTATCAGTGTTCCAGTTTACAGGCCCACAAAGCCGGCTGGGGGCTGGCTCCTTGAGATGTTTCGCGGTGGAACCTGATGCAGTGGCAGTTGAGGCCAGGCTGCCATCAGGCCTTGTGGGGTACCGAATCCTCCCTTGGTAACTAGCCCCACACGCAGAGCCTGGAGGCCCTGGAAAAGGAGTTTTATGATGTGGCAGCTGGGCAGGCTTGCTGTCGTGTTTGTTCGAGCTGTCAGTTCATGGGAAGGGTGGCGGGCAGTGAGAAGAGTGAGCAGTGGGCACGTGTGCCCTGAAAGTTGCTCTCTAAGGCCACAAGCCTGCAGCTCAATTGGAAGAAGATAAAATAATTTCTATCCACATGGTTAAAAATGGATTTTGGCCTGAGCAGCTGTACCCCTAGGAATCCAAGGAGCTGTTCATAGTGACTTTCTTGGAGGGAGCTGATTCACTGAGCTTTCCCGGTGTCAGTGCTTGTTAAGAAGGTGTGTGCGCTTCTCCAAGCACGCCGGTTCCTGTGTCCACATGCATCCTAGACGCCTTTCCTCCTCTTGGAACTCGGCGCTCCAGCGTGGTGCAGCGCCGCAGTGGGTGAGGGGGCCTCCAGTCACACTCCCTCCAGCCCCCCTCCTTGATTGGCTCTGCATACTCACTATAGCACGCACTTCTATGGATTAAGATTGTCTTTCTCTTGTGATGAGGTCTGTCACATCTTTGAAGTTTTCTTTTTATGCAGTTTCTAGTGCATATCCTGGGGTGGTGGCTCAGTGAAAGGTGTTCCTGGAGATAGATTGTGCGTTATCTGGATTCTGGGCATTTATCCTGTGCGTTTTCTTTTTTCCCCATAATTTTGCTTATTTATTTATGGCTGTTGGTTCTTTGTCGCTGCATGGGCGTTCTCTCCTTGCGGTGCACAGTCTTCTCATTGCAGGGGCTTCTCTTGTGCAGAGCACAGGCTTCAGGTGCTCAGGCTTCAGTAGAGGTGGCTCGTGGGCTCAATAGTGGTGCAAGGGCTTATTAGTTGCCCTGAGGCAGGTGGGATCTTCCCGGATCAAGGACTGAACCCATGTCTTCTACATTGGCAGGCAGGTTCTTTGCCATTGAGCCACCAGGGACTCCCCCTATCCTGTGCATTTTCTATACTTGCTTAATTGCATCTGAGTTTTTGAAAATGTTGACATCTATCTTAGAAATAATCTAAATATTAGCAGGGAAGTTAACTCCGCAGTACTGTGTACATATTTTGTGAAATTGCTGATTCATTCTTTATAGTCTCTTATTAGATTTATATTAAATAATTTAAACCACACCGAACCTGTAAAAAACCTCTTATATGCCACTGAAAACCATAAATGCTTGGGAAAAAATTTTAAATATAATTAGTAGGACAGTAGAAAAAGTTCAGAAATCATGAGGCTGTATGGTTTCCTTGTACACTTTGTTGTCTTAGACTCATTTAAACACACTGATAAAATCTTGAATAGGTGTTTATTTAAAATCTATTTTAGAAAAAGCTAATTATATCAAAGCACTAATAAATGGTAGTGAGTTTTAAGTTACCTAGAATTTCTCCTATAAATATTTTAGTTGTCTGATTTTAAGAGCTGTTATCACTAAATACTAATGTGAAAACTAAGTTTTTAAGTGGTTTTAAATACAAATTTACTAGATTTTGAATTTATAGGCATTGTAATAGTTAATGTTAGCAAAGTTTTGAAAATTTTCCAAACTTAAGTTTAGAGAGGGCAATCATAGATACTTATTTTTTAAAATAGCCATTTGTTTATTTTGTGGGTTTTTAAAGATGTAGCAAATTAAAAACGTAGACAAGGTAAAAATAATTGAAAATCATAAAGTTGATTCTGAATCAACTTTAATAATCCAGTGTTTCTTGCAACCTTCCTGGTTTTCTTTAATTTGCAAATTAAGTGAGTACTAGGAATGATCAAAAGTCAGTGATGTGTCCGTTCTTCTTCAGTAATGCTGCAGCCTTTTGACTATGACCCCAATGAGAAGAGTAAACACAAGTTTATGGTACAGACCATCTTTGCTCCACCAAACATTTCAGACATGGAAGCTGTGGTGAGTAGAGAAATTGAACAGAAATCTTTTGGGGGAATGTTGTTTAAACTTGGGTTTTGTTTAGTTCTTCATTGAGAAACCTACTTTTTAAAATTAAAAAAAAATCTGTGTATCTCTTCACTATGGATAATCCTAACTCATGTCAAGAATAAAGGAATTTTGAAGTCGTATTTCTTAGAGACGGTTTAGACGTGCACTGCTAACAGTGAAGCCCTGTAATCTCTAGGGATGTTAGTATGGTTTTAATGGTGGTGACAGTAGCTCTTGTAAGGTTCTGTAGAAAGTTTTGTGGCACCTGGAAACCCCCCAACCCCTGCCTCCAGGCAGCTACACTAACCCTTTGGTTATCCCTTGAGAGGAGACCTACTTCTTGCAATTGTATTTCCTCTGTCTCATTGTTTGGTTTCCTGTGTTTTTAGTGGAAAGAAGCAAAACCCGACGAATTAATGGATTCTAAATTGAGATGTGTATTTGAAATGCCCAATGAAAATGATAAATTGGTAAGTAGGAAAATTTAAGAAAATTGGAAGCTGCTCAGCTCTTAGTCACTGAGATTTAACTTGCTGCTGCTGGCTTTGGCCTTGGTGGGTGTGTGATGTATGATATAGCTGTTCTAGATTCGGTGCTTAGGCTTTTTTAAAAAACATGTGGACATGCTGTTTTCATGTTACAACATTTTGTTTGTTCAAGAAGAAAAGTACTTTTAGATACTTTTGATTAAAAGTGTGATTGAAAAAGAAATAATTTAAAAAGCTGCATGATGGAGAAGAATTATCTTTTCCTGCCAAAATCTTACCACTTAAACCGCTATAAGTTCTTTGTTAGAATAAGACGTGTATATATAAATATGATTAAGTTATAGACATAAGCTGCTTTTTGGCAGCTATATACCTGCAGTTTGGGGGTAAGATTTAATTTACATGGACAAACATTTATTTCAGATTTGGCTATTCCACATATTTTTTTCACTATTGGTCAAAATACATCTGAGTTAGTAAATGATTTTTATGTTGTGTTTTGCTTAGTGTGAGGCAAATAAAATTTGAAAGACTGATGTTTATATGTGCAGAGTTTAAAAAGTAGCCTTAGAGAATGGGTTGTGGTCACTTCTCTGTTCCTTTTCTGAAATGCAAATTTGAATTTTTTCTGGGGTTTTTAGGAGGGACTTGAAGGGTCGGTAGATTTGTGTGCATGTGATTTAACATATAAAGTAATATGAACACATAGCATTGTGTTTGGCACATACTAGGTTACAGTCTGACATGACTATTGTCTTTGCTCTGGAGGCCATTTGCCCTGTTGAAAAGTAAACTTGCAAGTTAAATACATGGGCTCAATTATTGTGTTTCTCTTTGAGGATAAACTGAAATGAAAAAATGCCTGAGTGGTAATTAGGTGTTGAACAAATAATTTATTGTGTTTTTAATGCCTTTTAAAGGGGATTTTGGAATATTTGCCAAAGACAGAGAATGTGAACACATATTCTTACTGGAGAGTGAGGTTTTGATGGTGCAACAGCACTGATGAAGTTGTCACTTCCCACGTAGAGTGCACTTTCTTTTTTGCCGAGGCTGCCAGAAGACTAATAGCTTGGGTAGTTCTTACCGGAACCAAGAAAGCACAGTAGCACATTGTCTGGGTTGACTTGTTTTATTTCTAGTTTAATTGAGCTGTAGTTGACATGCTGTATAAGTTTAAGGTGTCAGCATAAAGACTAGTCTTCCATACATTGTGAAATGATTACTGCAGTAAGTTTAGTTAACATCCGTCGTCTCATATAGCTACCAAAAAAACACTGTTTTCCCTGTGATCAGAACTCTTAGGATCTGCTCTCGAGAGCAGATAGCACATAGCAGTGTTACCTGTAGTCACCATGCTGTATGTTACATCCCAAGTTCTTGTTTATCTGGAAGTGTGTACCTTCTGACCACCTTCATCCAGTTGCTCCTCCCCATACCCAGCTCTTACAGCCACAGACCTGGTCTCTGTTTCTGAGAGTTTGGGGCTTTGTTGTTGTTGATGTTTTAAGATTCCATGTGTAAGTGAGCTCACCATACAGAATTTGTCTTTCTCTCACTTCGCTTAGTGTAATGCCCCTGAGGTTCATCCATGCTGTCACAAATGGCAGGCTTTCCTTTTTAATGGCTGGATAATATTCCATTGTGTACATGCATTCCAGTTTGTGCATATACACCACAACTGCTTTATCCATTCTCTTGATGGACACTTGGGTTGTTCCCATGTCTTGTCTGTTGTAGATAATGCTACTGTGTGAACATGGAGGTGCAAATATCTCTTCCACATAGTGCTTTCCTTTCCTTCAGATGTATTCCAAGAAGTAGAATTCATTGAAATAGGGTTGACTTATTTTAAAAACACGTTTGGGTATTTTCTCACTTTTATGAGTTTTATGCGATTTTTACAGTTGTTTAATAAGCACAGAGCTGTCTTTTAACTGGACTTCTCTTATGCTCTGGATAGGAGACCATTTGAGATTATAGTCTGAAAAGGGCCGGCACCCAAGTACTATTGGAAACCAAACCAGAAATTGAGGGAAATGATATGACTATGATAGATGGGCCCAGCCATCTTCCACCTTACACAGGGAGGTAGCAGGTTCACCAGACAGAGACCAGCCCAGATTATCCAGCCGAGTGGCTTTGAATCTGCTAAAGGCTTGAACAGATACTGCGTGGTGAGCCCAGGGCTCCCGCACCATGGAGCTAAAGCCAAAGTAGTTTGGTCTTAGAAGTTTTTCAGAGCAGGTTGTTAGAAACCTGGAGTCTGTTCAGCAATTTCAAAGTTCTCCAGGGAGTATCTGATCCTGAGCTTGATATACTAGCTGCAGAAGGATTTGCACTTATTGAACTACTTGGACTTGCAGTATAGTTTTTACTGACCAATTAAATTATAGGGAATACTTGCTAAAGGTAATGATTTTTTAAAGCAATTGATTATGAAAAACTTTAAATACCTAGAAAAATGAACAGTAAGTTAACCCCTGTGAATCAGCTTTATAAACAATGACCAGTTTGATTTTATCTCATCTCCATCACATCCCATCTCACATATTGTTTGAAGTCACATCTCAGACATAATTCATTTCAATCGTTATTGTTTCAGTATATATTGTTCAAAGCTAAGGATGTTAAGAAAAGTAGAAGAGTGAAGACAACACTGTCATTAGTCTTTGAAAGTTTAATATATCATTAACATCACGCTGCCAGGCAGAGTCACGAGTGTCATCTAGACATTTGTAGTTTGATTTGAAATCAAACATACTGCTCTTGGATGATATATTTCTTAAGACTCTTAAACTGTAGATTCCCTTGTTTTCCTCTTGAAAATTGTTTATTAAATCAGGTTTGTCCTGTAGAGTCTCCTATAGCCTGGGTTTTGTTGGTTGCATCCTTCAGGTGTCATTTAACTTTTCTGCTGTTTTTGGTATTTCCCATAATTGAATCTAGAGACTGGATTAAATTGAGGCTCATTTTTTGCTGGTGAGGGAGAGAGAGGACTGCTGTATAGATGATTATCTGTTCTTTCAGGGAGGCACATAGTGTCTTTTTTGTTTTGAAGCTAGCAGCTGTTGGTGTGTAGACAGTGGTTCCCAGCCAGGGGACATTTGTCCATGTCTGAAGGCATTTTTGGTTGTCACAGCCCTTGGGGTGGGGGGTTTGCTACAGACACCAGTGGGTAGGACACTGCTCAACTTCTCCAGCGCATAGGACTGTTCCCGCAGCAAAGATTCTCTAGCCCTAAATGTCAGTCAAGTTGAAAGTGAGAAAACATGGTTTAGGTCCATTAATTCACTTAAGGTTGCGTAATGGTGATTCTGTCATTCCTGCTTCATTGTGTTAGAGGTATTTGGCACTCATTTGATATTTGCTGATACATTTGGTGGTGGAGTTCTCAGTCTTTCTCTTAGGTTAGAAGCATCCACTCTCTGTGTCCTTCTGACGATAGCTAGTTCCACTAGCTTTGCCACCTCCTTCCTTTTCTCCTCTTTGCTGTGTGTTCTGTGGACTGATGGACTTAAACCCGTTTGTGTTTCAGCCTCTTAGAGGTAATGTTGGTACCAGGTGTTCTGTGAAATACTCTTTTGGAAACTGTTCCTGCTTAAACTCATTCTTGCGGTGCTGCTAACCTGCGGGTTCTACAAGGAACCCCTGTGACACAGGGATCACTGAAGTGGACGCAGCCTGCCCCAGACCTGCTCTCTGAATTGTTGATTACTGACTTCCTGTCGAGGTGTCAGCTTGCCGTTGTGTCAGAATCTTTATAGAAAATGTGAAGCATCAAAGTAACCAAACCTGGAGTATTTATACACAAAATAATTTATAATACACTACGAAGTTTTTGTGTATTTGTTATAATGGTTAAGGATGAAACCTTATATATATGTATGGATACACACACGTGTGTAGAAATACATTTGAAACACCTCTTTTCTAATGCTTTATTCATGTAGTGATAAGACCCTGTTGGTAAGACCCTAATGGTATCTTGGCATTTCCAGTTCAGTGTTAACTACAGACGATGTTAATGAAACTGCTCTAAGATCATAGTGTCTTTGACATACTGCTTTCTTTCTAGCATCCATAGGTACAGTTATGAAATTACTTAATACCCTGTTTCTGTATATGTGTCTTCACTTTAGTAAGAACTTTGTTTATTAGGGAATTAGGGCATGGTTGAGTTGTGTTTTGCATAGATAAAGTTTGTCAGTTTACTACAGATAAATTGGTTAGGTGCCATATGAAGTTGAATGCAGACTACACAAATTGATTAAAGAGGACACTCCCTTATTCAAGGAAAACACACTTCTAAACAGTTAGTAGCATATATTTTTAGAAGTAAAGTACGAAGCATTTTTTAGTATATAGTTACAGTTATTGTGTAGTAAATTCGTATGGTGACATGGTTTGATCTCTTATTTGTTTAGTTTGCTTGTTTATGTGTTTTTAAAAGTGTGTTAATTTCAGCAAAATTCAATTTAGTCTTGACCAAGTTGCTGGGGATAGTCTGGTTTAATACACAGCCCCGTCCAGATGGCAGTCGCATTGTGTTCAGCGCTTAGTGTGTGGAGCTGAAGAGAAGCCCCTGCCAGCTAGCGGCCCCTTCCACATTCACTCTGAAGAGCTGCCCATCTGAGTTCAGGACCTTTAGCAATCAATTTAGAAAGCTTCAGTTGATATCCAAAGCTGATCGATGCTGCACTAGCCATCATAGTTTCTATGCTTTGTTCTCAGAGCGGGTGTAGGCAGCAGGTCTCAGCGTTGTGATGTTGACTCAGTATTTCTTAATGTTTGGTGCTCCATCCCATTCTCACCCCTGCCCCCAGCTCCTCACCCACCTCCCCGAGCCACCCCAGAGAAGTATATGGTCAATTAAACACATTAGGTAAGGCACTCTGTTTGAGGATCCGTGTCTTTTTAGGTATGCTGTTAGTTCTTGGCATTTACTGTTCCTAAAGACAGTTGGAAAAGAGTGTGTTATT